CTCCCCGGGGTGCAGAGGCCGTGAGCTCCCTGCCTCCGCAGCAGACCTTTCCTGCCAAGTGCCACGTGTGCTCAACGCGTCTCGAGAGCGGAGATGGGCACCTGCGTGCAGAGGAGCTCTTCAGCGACCTGCTGAGGGGCGCTGGGGGGGACCCCTGTCCCTGGGGTTTGGGTGACAGCTGGCTCCAGATGCCCGCACTGGATGGGGGTCTGCTGGGAGGTCTGGGGGAGATGGGGGCTGTGTTGTGGCAGCAGGAGGATGCTCAGCACCCCAGGGTGGCACGGACCATGCAGGGTCGGTCCCTGGTGTGATGTCCGCATGGGGATGGGGAGCGAAGTTGGCCGGTCCACAGCAGCACCAGGAGCCGGCCAGCATCCAAGCACCACCTCCAGCAAGGTGGATAAGATGCCATCCTCTCCTGCAGAGCTTGGAGCAGCTGGACCCCCCGGCGACACCCCCCCCGGACCCCTGGGACGTGGAGGTCAGGGCTCCCTGCTTCTTCCAGGGCCGGACACGGCGATGCCAGGTGCCCCACTCCGTGCTGGTCAGGGTGAGTCCTCACAGCTCCTCGGGACGGTGATGGGCACCTCAGTACGGTTCTCATTTTCTTGGGTTTTTCCTCATTAAATGTGAGGGAAAATAGTTAGAGAACCCTTCTTCCTGGTGTCGTCGTCTTCTAGAAGTCTGAGGACAAATCTTGCTGCAGCCTTTTCAAGAAACACCACTGGATAATACTTCCTCTTCTGTTAATTTTTTTTTTCAACATTAGCAGAACATTTGTTTGCATGACAGTTCCCATTTAGCTTTTGACAAGCTCTATAGCTGGTCAATTTATTTTACTTTTTAAGTGAAATGATGAATAAAGAAAAAAGATTACTTTCTTTTGCCAGCACTACATAGACATGTGCCTTTGCTAAAAAATTATTATTTATGACTCCTTTAATGATCGTACAGCACAATTCTATGGTGTTAGGACCAGAATTTTACCACTGAATTTAGATGCAGGAAGAGTGCGTGTGCATAAGATGAGGTATCCGAAATCCCTGGGCAGCTCCGTGCATGAATAATGCTCTGATTTCAGGACTGTCACAGATGCCGCGGTCACGGCCGGTCCAAGTGCGGGGTGTGCCATGGGGCAGGTCGGGTAAGGAGCTGGGAAACCTTCTGCCAGGCAGCCTGCGTTTCCTATTCCTCGAAGTTTGGCGTTCATTTGCAAAAATACATGTGCTAACTTATTACTGTACTTACGAGAGTTGGAAATCTGAGGGCAAGGTCCGTTTTATTCCCCCTTTGCCACCCTGTACCCCAAACCCACTCGTGTTCAGCCCAGTTTCCAGCAGCTGTTCCCGGGTCCTCCAGCGATGCTGAACGGGGTTGTCAAAATCCTGCCCCCAGGACAGGACATCCCCGTCCTCAGTCGATAGCCTACGCGTTATGGTGGTGAGAGGAGAAGGAGAATTTGCTTCTGCACTGTTGAAATGAGGTCAGATCTTAGGTATGAAAAGCAGCAAACTGTTTGCTGTCTTTCAGATATGCTCGGTTCTGTACTTGGGGTTTGGGAAGGGGAGAGGAGGTTTAACCCAGGGATACGAGTGCCGCTGCAAAGCCGGCCTCCTGTCGTTGTTTGTTCTTCTGCGCAGATATTCCCAGCCTGCCAGCAGAGGTACTGTTATTGCACCGATTTGCCGCTTTAGTTAAAGTTAATCTGATCAAATATGAATACTTAAATAAAAGTATACTATTATCTACAAGAGTAAATAACAGTGGAAAACCTCGTGTTTCATTTCAGCCTAGGTCGTGTGTCTAGTTTGCATCACTGGTGAGTTTGGCTGGAACACCCGACTAATCCAGGGTCACAATTTACGAGCTGCTTTGTACACTCTTCATTTGCAATGTACGTACTTGGCATGCGCCTTTCCCTGCAAGCCTGAGTTAGCAATTATTTTGATAACGTGCATAAAAGCTTTTGATTTATAAGCCTGACATGTCTTTATCCTAGCAGTCACCACTTACTTTAATTCTTTGGTGTATTTGTAGACGAGGTGTGTAACGTGCGAGGGCTCCGACGGAGGCTGAAGCACCAAAAGAGATGCCAGCGTTGCTCGGGTACAGGTCGCCAAAGGTACGATGGGCTCCTCTGCGCATCAGGTGCTGCGGCTCCTCTCACACCGCGATGATCCCTCAGTCCGCGCGATCTCACGCAGCGGCACGGGTCGTAGGAACCAGTCATCCCAGTCCCACTGGCTTGGTGGAGGCTGCCAGCTGAGGGTCTGCATAGGAGGAAAATACTGGAAAGCTGGTGGGGGAAAAAGCCCTGAATCCAGTAGGTTTGAGCCAAAATGACTCCACTTGCCTGCTGCTGGCAGGGGTTGCAGTGCAGAGCTGGGGCATGCCCTACATGCCCGTGTGCTTTTTTTATTTTCTACCATGACGACCACCTAACAGATAAAGTAGCACAGCAGTAGCTTTATTCTCCAGGAAAAATGGTTAGAAATAGCCTTTTCCCCCTCTGATTTTTAAATGAACCTTCATTTTAACATCGTTTATTCATTCCGTGCAGCCCGCCCTCAGTATTCAGAAACCAAGCTGCTATCCCAGACTCGTGAGAGAAGCTCTGAAGTGTTTGGAAAATAGTAGTTTTTTTGGCTTGCCTTTCTTCCATCTTTTCTTATCTTTCTGTTACAAGGCTGCCGCGTTTCCCGGCTTCTCTGGGAAGAAAGCCTTGGGTTTTCCAGTGAAAGCAGAGTGTCTCAGAGCTCCAGGGGCTGCGGCAGGAAAGAGGCTTCCAGTCTGCCCAGGGCCACGCTCGGCCTCCCTCCCACCCCGGGTCTCGGTGGGCTCTGCCGGGCTCAGAGCCCGGGTGGGGTGGTGGGACGGGGCGGAAGGAGCCGCCCCGGGATGGCAGCAGCAAACTTCAGAGCTGCTCTTAGGTCCAGCTCCCGCGGCGCCCCGTTGGGCTTCGGCAGGTTTCACGGCCAGCGCAGCCGGGAGAATTATTCCCACCGTCTGTTTTTCCCAAACATGAAAGTTAACAGGCTTAAAAATGATCTTTAAGTGACAAAAAAAGGAGGCACTTTCTAAAGCTGTTTTATGTGGCTCCATTAAGTTTAAAATAACAGCGATGGTATCGTGCATAATCATGGCAGTCATTTTAAAGCATGAATCCACCGGGGCTAATGATGGCTTGAAGAGTCTTAATGAATCAGTTGTTAACTGCTGCTAATCTGTGTTGCACTGATGCAATCAAACCGCTCCATGCATAAGCATATGCCTCCTGCATCTGCCAGAAGCACAGGCAGCAGCGTCTTCAAAGTGACACTCGCCTTACCGCCGTTGTGTGGGGAAATTGTGATTATCCTTAATTAGATGTACAAATACATTCTTTGACTAATCCCACATTTACAAATAGATTTGAGGCTGGCATTAGTCATTTGTTTTCCCAAGCAAATACGTTATGTCCCTTGAGTCACGGACCGGGGGAAGACGTACGTGCGGTGCATGTGCTGTCATTGACTCCTGCAGCTGCGGACCCGGCGGAGCTGCGCAAACACTGAAATAAATCACCCCCGGCTTTAAAATCCTGTTTAAAATTCTTTTTGTGGCATCCCAAGGTGCCATACCTGTTCTGGCCGGGGCAGCAAGACCTGTGCGACCTGTCAGGGAGAGAAGAAGCTCCAACATTTCAGGCAGCTGGTGATAAGCTGGTAAGCAGCACAGGGAGAAGTTCTGAGCTGTTACTTTTATTCCTTATTTTTCTGCAAGGCTTGGGAGCTCAGCTGGGGTCCCTAAGGGGAAGCTGGGAGAGCATTTATTGCCTTTGGTCAGGCAGAAACAGGGGCTTAGAGGGGCAGCTTTAGTCCCTAATGACGGCAGTCTTGTCCGTGGGGTGTGATGGGAGCTGAAGCGGGTTCACAGAGGTGAAGGTCAGTCCAAGGTCACACGAGGAGTCCCAAATGGAGACAGAGCGGCCGAGCCCCTGCCCGGTACCAGCTGGCGCAGCCCAGACCCAAAGCACCCAGGTAGCCGGGGCGATGCGGGGCAGCGGCCGAGCTCCTCTTTTCGGGGCTTTAGAGCCGGCCCAAGGTGCTGGCTGGGGGGGCTGCCCTGGCATCGCCCAGCTGGGAGCTCTCGTGCCAGAGACCACCAACGGGGCTGAAAAAGGTGTTAGCTTGTGAGGTTTAGCAAAAAGCCATTACCTGCCCTGCTGGTGCTTCCTGAGCACTTTCCCATTTTTGTACAAAATGCCTTCAGTTACCCTGTGTGAAGACCTTCATTTTTCAAAACACCACCTCCGTCCATCCTGAGAGAGTGGCAATTAAGTGATCATCCCCCTGTACTGGGCACTGGTGAGGCCGCACCTTG